GTGGAACTGGGGATTGAACTCAGGCCCTTGTGCTTGCCAGGCAAGAGCTTATTCTACTGAGCCATCTCCCCGGCCCCTGGTGTATATTTTATGGGGAGATTCTGGGTGAGATTTTTTCTTTCCTGGGCTTCTATGTCCTCACATTATCTCAGTGCCCCCCAAGGTCCTTTCTAGGGGAAAGATGCAGATGTGTTCCAAGTGGCAGCTCCTGACTCTGTCTCGGGGTGTTCCCTTCCTGCCGTCTATGGGCCAAAGGGCAGCACAATCCGAGGGGTAATGGTTAACTTAGCCCCGACATCCCGTCTATAAGGAGTCCACAAGCAGGGCCACCCCCACTGCCCCAGGCTCTAGGATGCAGTGGGTGAAGGTGGTAGGGCTAGGGTTGGGGGCAACTGCCCTCCTGGGGTTGGGAATCATCCTGGGCCACTTTGCGATCCCCAAAGGGGCTGAGCAGCCATCCTCCAGCACTTCAGCCCCCCAGGACCTGGACCTGGAGACCCTGAAGACTGTCATGGGACAGCTAGATGCTGGCAGGATCCAGGAGAACCTCCGGTAAGCAGTGGGTCTGCCCGCTCCTGCTGAGGGCCAGCTGCCCCTTGCTGACACAGCTGCACCCCATGCTGCCCACCTGTAGAGAGCTCTCCAGGCAGCCGCACTTGGCCTCCAGCCCCAGAGATGAGGCCCTGGTGCAGCTCCTGCTGCAGCGCTGGGGGGACCGAGAGTCGGGGCTGGACTTGGCCAGGACTGTGGAATACGAGGTGCTGCTGTCCTTCCCCAGCCCGGAGAAGCCCAACCTCGTGGATGTGGGTGAGGCCCCACCTGGTGTGGGAAGCCTGGGGTGGGATGAGAACTGCTGGGCCGGCCCTGACTCTGCCCGCTCCACAGTGGATCCCAATGGGACTGTTCAACACTCCTACCTCCCGAAAGAGGAGAATGTGACTGGGGAGCAGGCAGGACCTGATGTAGTACAACCCTATGCTGCCTATGCACCCCCTGGAACGCCAAAGGTGAGCCTGAGTCCCCCTTGGCATGGCCTGGATCCCCCTAGTTCCCATTCAGGCTTCTCCCTTCTTAACCCCAGGGCATCTGAGGAAAAGTGCTTCAAGTGGGGCTGAACATACTCTCCACTGAATTTATTCACCTCTGCACTCTATCTCCTGTGTTCCTCCATCACTTAGTCACCCAACAAACACTAGTGGCCCCTGCTCAAGGCTAGGGCTGACATAGGGCACTGGACACAGAGGAAACCAGGGTGACTGTCCTTGCTTACATCTCTGGTTGAGATGGAGAAAGAACCTAAATCCTTTTTCCTGCTACCATCCCTCCTTTTCCCCAACCTGGCCTGGCTGGGCTAAGTTCTAAGGATCCCTTCTCTTGACCATAGGGCCTCCTTGTCTATGCCAACCATGGCACGGAAGATGACTTCAAGTACCTACGGGACCAGGGCATCGACCTGCAAGGCACCATCGCCCTGACTCGCTATGGGGTAGCAGGGCGGGGGGCCAAGGTGAGCAAGGGCCACCCTGCGGGGGTTCAGGGGCGGGGAAGCATCAGGTCCAGAAGCAGCAGAGCCCTGGCTGGGGTGGGAGGGAGAAATGAGCTGTCCACAAGCTGCATGCTGTGGGCTGTGTGGCCCTGGCTGCTTCTCCCAACTTGGAGGTTTAGGAATGTAAGGATGGAGGACCAGGGAGATGGCTCAGTGGAATAAGCGCTTCCCAGGCAAGCACAAGGAAGTTCAATCCCTGGTTCTGCAAAGAAAGAAAGAAATATAAGGATGGAACAGAAGTTTCATCTTGGATATTCTGGAAGTCCAAGTCTCCCTGTGAAGTCATTCTGAAAACTTCTCTTAATCCTCTTTGATTGTTCCCTTGCCCACCTTTTTGTTTCTTTTCTTTTCTTTTCTTTTCTTTTCTTTTCTTTTCTTTTCTTTTCTTTTCTTTTCTTTTCCTTTCCTTTCCTTTCCTTTCCTTTCCTTTCCTTTCCTTTCTTTCTTTCTTTCTTTCCTTCCTTCCTTCCTTCCTTCCTTCCTTCCTTCCT